ATGATGCATGTATACGAAAAATGTGTTCAGGGAGAGATCAAAAATAAGAAAACATCGCGCGCGCGCGCACGCACGCACACGCATACACAGCAGAACAATGGCTTTACATCAAGTTGAAGTGGCAAATTGATACCGCGCATTCCATACTATATTTCATATGCACACATAAACCGTATGATTTTTTATCAGCTTGCGTTTTGCCCAACGAAGAAAATCCTTCACGATAGCCCTCGAGATATTTTTTCCTTGTTTTCTTTTCATTTGCTTTTCCTCTCTTTCTTTCATTTTTTTTGTGTTGCATCGTGTCCATAGGAATGAGCGGATGAAATTCATGAGCGCGATTTGAAATAACAAAAAAGAAAAGAAAATGCGAACGATTGCCGTTAAAAAGATCGATCGTTGTTGGGCAAGAGCAACTAGCCATTTTCCATTTGGCTTGGCAATGGTACTCTTCAAAGGAGTCAAGAGTGTGTATCTGTGTATGTGTGTGTTGCAGTTGATAAGACTTGTTGGCTTAAAGCTGTATTATTTTCTTATTGTTGGTGTAATGGCAATTTTCAGTGCAATGAAATTATTTTCTGGATTCGATCAATATCGCTCATATTCTCCGCAGTGCATGGGTATGAGTATGAGTATGCGTATGGTATGGAATACAATGCTTTATTTACATTTACTCTTCAGCCATACATTTGCATGCGTAATCTCGAGGTATTTTTCGTTGCTTGCTCGTTTTTTTAAAATTCTTTTTCTTGCTTCTCAATTTTTTTTTATCATTTTTACTCTTGCGTTTATCGCGTTATTGTTGTGTTACCGTCACCGGTGTTGTGCTCTTAAGCTAAGCTGTTAATACCCGTGCTGCACAAATACGTAAGTGTGTTTGTGCAGCGGTGTGCTGAATTCGTAATGGAAATACATTTTGAAAATTTTGAAATGATGCTTGAGATTGGTTGGTTTTCGCTTTAGTAAATTATAGTGCAATTTAACGCTCGTGTTCTTGTACTCTTTCTATGCTGCAACTTGTAACATATAAATTGTAAAAATGATTGGCCATAATACAACGTTGACTCATTGCAATTGAGGCGCGCGCTATTATTATCATTGCATGTTATTGTTGGTCTTTATGTCTCTTTTTCTGGACATTTTGCCATTGCGTTCTGCATTTATTTCTGGTCGTGTTGTGTCCAAATACCAGCCTTCTTTAAAAAATTGTATTTGCACTTGAGATTCCGTTTTATAATATGAAATGAAAGCGAATAAATACGCTTCATATTAATATTCTCAAATGGTTTTAATGAGTCGTTTTCATGCTTGTTCCATTGATCGCGAAAATGGTGAGCGGCTAAACTCAATCTGAGAGACAAATGTCTAGCGCAATTATTGCGAGATCACCGAGGATGCACAATGAGCATGAAAACATAGTAAGCTGAGCGTACCGGATTCCGTATTATATATGCAATGCGATTTATGAAGCCAAAATAATTTTACTACCGCAGATGTGATATTGTCTTACTGCGTTGATATGCTCGGCATATATCGTCAGCTATGTGGCATTCGCTGGTTTAGCGCAAGGGGTTTGTTTGCTGAAAATCGAATGACTGTGTTTTTATATTCCATTTTCCAACCATTTTACAAATTTTAATTGAAAACCGATCAGTCGTGAAGCAAATATAAGAGTAGCTCAAAATAATCTAAGTGGATAATAATACCGATCAGAGCAATTAAAATTTCATTCGAAGAAAGCCGGAATACACGTGTTATGGCAGTTGTGCACTTGTACATAGGCGGGCTACTTGCCACACATTGGTGAACGCCAAATTATATTGTACGGTTGTCGTTGTTACATTTGACTACTATCTAGTGCAAATGGGGTACTAACAAAGATGGAAAATAGAAAGCCAGACGAATATTAAAGCGCAAATAAAGCATTAGCAAGGCATATATCTTGCTTATGGTGGTTCTGTTTTTTTTACAAGCAGTCTTTTTTTACGATTAAATTATGTATGTCGACTACATGCCACAGTACAAAGATGCTAAAAGATCCTGATATCCCGAAGGCTTGGAGTTTATCACGAATTTTCCTCGGTGGGTCTGTGTAGTTGGCGGTATTATTGTTAAAAATATAATTTTTCTCCACTGAACTCGCATATATTTTCTGCAGTTTGCATTTTGGGCCGTTGTTGATGTTGTTTTTTCTTGTTGTTGTTCGGGCAAAAATGCATTTGTAGTTTTAGCCCATTAGCTGATGTGACCTCGGCGATTGCACAGTTTACATACGGTGTGGTGCGATTACCGAAGATTGTACAATGCACAACACGAATCGATTATTATATCCAGAGAAGATTTAAGCGCATATTTCATCTGGGGCCCATTTTATCTAAACGCCTGACCGCGATCCATGATTTTGCGGTCGAATGCAAATTTCGTATGGATTATTCTGTATAACGCAAAAATTTGTATGTAAACTTTGTCATTCTTGTCAAGAATTCGAACGAAATAAAATGTCCGGTCAAAAGAGTCGAGATAAGAAAACAAATGTTGAAATAAAAGAATATTTTATAGTTCATTTGTTTTTTCGTTTTTTAATTTTGATCAAAAATAATCAAAAATGATTTCATTTGATGAATTTCCGTCATGATTTTGTGTTCTAGAATTACAGTTTACGTTCAAAGTTAACGGTCAAGAGATAAGTTCCCTATGCAATTTGCGTTCAATCACAAAATGTAAAATGCGTCCAAATACCGCGGTCAAGCGCTTCGAAAAAAAATGAGCCCCTGCTGCTGTCCTATCAGTGAATAAATCCAAGGATAGAATGACTCCAAAACTAATCCAGCGTTTGAGAGGGTTTTTTGATTGCATAAAAACGGTCAATGTGGATTTCAATTGACGTAGATTAAGTTAAGACGACAACAATAATGCAATACCAATAATTAAACCAATTAAACAATAGCATCACTTTCATCGAAAATAAAGAAAAACTGGTTTGTAATGGACGGTTTACCAAAAATAGGAACAATTTACATTAAAAAACGACGTTGGAAATAATAATTCGTATCATTTGGTACAAATGTTTCAAATCAAATGTTTCCCATATCTCTTGTTGGTGATTCTGATATCTTTTCGTACGGTTTTGTTGATTATTTTATTGTTAGTCCCTTTTTAATGGTGGCATTTCGTGAACAATGCGCATTTTATATTCGAAATTTCGTTGTTTTCATGGTGGAAGTGTATTTAAAAAAAAAAGAATGTATGTCTATGTTGGAGTAAATTTAGAATAAAATTTGCAAGTTTTTCCATCTAATCAGTCAAAAAATAGAGGATCGTATGTTTGCCAAAAAGTGTGTAATAATAATTAACCGTCTTTAATAGAGCATAAAAATGTGTGGACGCTCAATGTATTTGTTGTTTTGGACTTGTTAATAATTTGCATATAAAAATTATGTGACTCTGACTAATAGATTGCGAAAGCACCGGTTAAGTGAATAACTGAACGCTGTTTTACTTTCAATTTTGTAGAGTTCCTTTTCGAGACATAAAATCGTATCAAACGAACGTAGAGCAATACAACGAACTTTATTTCAATCATCTTTGTTATATAATCGAATATTGCTAGCCTCCTAATACAAACGCCTCTATGTCGGCCTCCGAATCCATTCTTTTATTTGAATTTCAACCAAGTTTTAAAATTAAATTGTCATGTTCATCCGGTGTTTTTGCTACATAAGACGTACTCTGTAAATAAAAGATGTGTCGCATATACAGTGCTTAAGATTGACTGTCAATGATCAGACGTTTTCAGAGTTGCTGTCAGTAGCCGTGCACCGATGAATGGCACTGCTGTACACCATTTTTGGCATAATCACGGGAAGGTGAATGTTCTTTAAATTTTCCATCGATCCAGACGAAAACTCGAATATGTTTTTCTTCACCGTCTCTCCCAACAAAGTTGAGTTTACCATTTATTTATGTGTGTGTGCATTAAATATCAAAATCATTTGAACCTAAAAAATTGTTTTCTTCCCTTCAATTTAATTGCACGGTGTCTACCAATTGGCGTTGCGCCACAAAATCGATCGATGTGCGAAGGGATACATATATTTCGTATATTGATTGGCAAGAATTCATTGTATATTGGAAGAAGATAGACTGAAATTAAACACATTGCTATCCATCAGTACTTTGGCAATGTATGTACGATTGAAGAGCCATAATTGATGATTATCCATTATTCAGTATTGTGATGGAACATTGTTTTAACATTGTGTGTACTCATATATGCTGCTCAATAAATTGGCAAATGAATTATTGCCGTAAATCGGCAGAAGGGGTAAGAATTTGGTATGGACAGGAATGAAAAAAAGCGCCGGTGGTTTTTTCCTCACGGTAAGTCGCTTCGTTAGCACTACTAAGTTGAATATTGCAAAATGCTGACGTAGTGGGGCTGAGTCTGTCTGCATATATCAATTGATTCGGTTTCATACGACGATGATAGTCACTTGTACAACAACACCAGCAGCAGAAACGAAATAGACGACGCAGAGGGAGTTAACAGAAGGCGTGTCTTTGTTCGAATACGGCATTGAATGTTACAAAAACACACAGTACAGCACAATTGAACCAGTAAATGCTTATTTTTTCCTGTGTCGTGCTTTCATCTCTATACCATACAGCTATGTATTTCATGCTATTCAATGCTGGCAACGTGGAATGTGCCCGTTGTTCTTTGCAAACACACATAAACACATAAACACATACACACACACACACGAACCTATATACATATGTACATCGTACATACAGCCGCGATGTGCTGCTTCTGCTGCTATCGCTGTTGTTTTCAGGAACATTTTTCGTTTTTTCTTTCATTATTACTTGGTTGTGTCATGTGGGCCTGTGAGCGATTCGACTACCGACAGTAGTCGCTGTGAGTGTGTGCGTGCCGTGTTCATCCGTTCAATCGTTGTGTGAATGTGGTTGTTCTGTTTGATCGGTTTGTTTACTCAGGCGCCGTATACCCTCAAGCTGAGAGTGCATCACAAGGCTAGTTCGATTCGAACGACAGCGCAGTGTGTATCGTATGCGCGCCAATCAATCTAAGTTTCTCGTCATAGCTTGTGTGCATCGTGGAAAAAATCTTTTTCGTCAAGTCCTCCCAGCCATTGTTGTTGCTATTTTTTTTGTAATCAATATCTTTTGCTGTATTCGACAAGAGCAAAAAAAGCAGTGAAATTCTCTGTTGTCTGTACGGTGTGTACGCACATGATAAAATAGTGAGAAATTTAGTGAAAATATTCGGTTAGTTAAAACAAAATTAGTGGCGCATTATTGCACCTCCAGCATCGTTCCATCACATTCTCACCTTTCAACAGCGGGTTGCTCACCAAATTTCGATTGATGCCACACATTTTTTTTGGATATCCATCGTTATTGATACGTTCCATTGTTCACCACCCTTTGGTCAATATCACATCATAATCGGATCGGATCGTAACCGAGCAGTTTCAACTCATCACATTATAAAATACTTAAAAACCACATAAAAAAACGTATTTGTTCAGAACAACTCGTTGAAGTATACGATCAAAAATGAAGCAAATGGTGTAAACAAATCGAAAATCAGTTGCACGTGTTCCGATTTCCATTCTTATTGCCATTATTATTCAGAAACAGTGAGAAATTAATTTAGGTTCCGGCAAAAAAAACCATGCACATACTTCATTGTTTTATAAACTGGGCAACAAATACCGTTTCCTCTAATTTAGCCAGAGTGCGTGTGTGTAGAAAATCATATCCATACATGTGAACAATTTCCGAAGGTTTCGATTGTAGGACCAAAACTTGAACATTTTATTACATGGAATAAAGTTGTCAGAGATAAAGGAAAATATGGTGTACCTTTAGTAGAACAATGTTTTTTTTCGAAAACAATAACAAAAATACAAAAAGTGCTTTATAACAAGTCTATCCAGTCTCAATTGATTGGTTAGTTTGAACAAACGTTTGCATATGAGATGAATTAATAAAACTGTGATTGATCAAACATCGAATCGCATTGAAAATAAGGAGAAAACCGAACAGGACACACTCATCGTATGAATTTTAAAAACGAGTGAATCAGACATTGACCGAACAGCAAAAATAAAACAAATCAATATTATAATGGAAATTTCCGCATAAACAATTTGCATAAGTGTCAATTTTAGTGATTTTTTCCCCAAATGTACGCACAAATTTCCTCGTGAATTTATATCCAAATAGATCTCTTCTAGTTTCAATGACCTCAAATTATGTGATTAATTGAACGGTGAATTTAGATAGTAAATGTAAATCAGAGAAAAATAAAAATCAATCCCCTGAATTCATTACAAAAAAATAAGACAAAAGTTAACATAGAAAATTTTTGTTCGAGTACAACAGTCAAACGCCTACGTACATTGTGACATTTTATGTCAAATTGATTGAATAAACAATAAAAAGAAGCATCCATATCTTTGTTCCAATTATACATAGATCAATGTTTTTTTTTAATCAATTCCCATTTTTTTACTCATTGTAAATTGTTGGTGAAATTTAAAGCAATCAACACGTATTCAAAATAGAGTGATTGATCATCATTGATTGAAGTGCCTCCACGGAAACCTTAGCTCAATTTAGTTAAAATACATCGAGCGATACAAAGAATCGATAGACATTATATCGTGCATATCAAATAAGTAAGTCATCTTATTAATTTCTATATTTTCTTCCGTTAAGTGGATAGTTAAAACAAATATTACGTTATAAAATCTTCGTGCAAGGGAATATTCCCGAATTCTCAATAAAATATGCTAATAATACATAAAATGACTGAGAAAATGAATAAATACGTTCAAGTTTGTTTGCATAATGTCAACATTTTTTTTATTAAACAACGGAAACATAACATCTTTCTCTCTCTCCCTCGCTCCCTCTCTCTCTCTCTCTCTCTCTCTCTCTCTGCATTTGCATATAATTGTTGTTATCAATAATTATGCATTGTAATAATCGAAGTTGAATGGTGTGTTGGAATTTGATCATAAGCGAGAAAATTACCACTTATATCCATTCACCTTGATAATTTGGGTTTGACATCAAATTTGCAAGACTTTCATAATTTTAGCAATTATGTATTAAAGACCACCTCGGATTATTACTTCAGAGTTCTTTATTTGTTCATTTAAAAGGTAGCTGATGAAAACGAAATCAAACGGCTAATCAAAAATGTTTTCAACCAAAAATTCAATGTAATACAATTTACAGTAGAAGCTGCAGTTGCAGTTGATTAATATGAAAAGGAAAAATATTTTACGGTCCATATTTCTGGCGTACACGAAACTATTATCGAAAAAGAAAGCAATTCATGTCTAGCTTCTTGGTTCAAATTCTAGTTATTCAAAATAAGTTTGAGGGTCTTTAATTAAATGATATTTATGTTTTTTAAAGCCTTTTTTGTTGGTCATAACACATATTTGAAGCTAAGAATAAAACAAAAAATGGAGAATAGATCGAATTTCTTCTGATTCAGAAAAAAGAATGAATTTAGCAACTCAACGTTCTATATTGCAGTAAATTTGTTTAGTCCATTGTAATTGACGGATTTGAGCAGAACATAAAGAATTTTGCGATAAAACAAAGGCAAAATATTTGAATCACAAAAAATAGGTTGTCACGTTATAAAAAATGCTTCCATTATCTTTGTTTCTTGTATTTTCGGCGGCTAAAAATGTTGCGAGCGGAATTTTGAAAGCGGTTGAGAAAAAAAGTTATATATAAATGCGTTAGCTACGAACTCAATTTGCATAAATAAACTCGTTTTTTGTTCGTTTGCGCATTACATACCAACTCTAGAATAATTCATTCATTCCAAAAAATAATCTTTCTCTCACACGAGCGCAGATACTGACATTCTTAAATGCGTCCTTATTTCGACGTATCCCATGAATGTCAAAATACTGAATAGCCGACCCGGCTCCTGACCATTCTTCGGTTTCTTCCATTTGATGAAATCTTGCATCATTCTTTGTATTTACTTGTCTAATGAGAAAAAACGTACAAGCCATTATCAATGTAATATGTGAACGAGCACCTGTTTTACTAACATCTCATGTTGACATATTTACCAATTTATTAACGGCGTTTATTAGTGCAACTGAATCATTTTACTTCAAATTAGAGTATTGATGAATGCGCTACGACACTTTCTGCGGATCTTTGCGAGTTCTCGCAATGACTTCTACAATATGCACAATACTATACCCACAATATTTAAAGCGTTTTTGATGTTTACGAATGTGCATACGTCTGTCTTATTTTTATCTCTATAGTTCTTTCTAATATCTACCATTTATACGCTGCAAATGTATGACTAAAAAAAGCCGTGGCGCGTCCAAATATTCGACATGTTCTGCCGTTGGTAAAAGCGGACTATATTTAATGCTATTTTCGATTTTGTTTGCTATAGTGAGATTTTAAGGCTGAGACACTATGCAGTTGTCATTGAACTCCAAAAATCGATCGTTTCCAGTTCTTTAATATGTAATCGAGTGTTTGCATATCCATTTAAGAAAAATAAATCAACATGCTTGAGTGCATGGTAATACAAGCCCTTTAGATCATCATTTCTGACATTTCACAGAGCATTTACATAAATTCCTCAAAAATTGCACCGGCAAACTGTTTCTTTTACATTTATGAAAAAGGATTGATTTTTACTGTGGTAAAATATAAAATTAAACACATATGAACCACCATATCCCCTAGTTGGCCACATTTTGATTCTCACAATTAAGTAGATAAGAAAAAAAGTGGCATTACAAGAGCATAGATACACTGAAAGAAAAAAAAAATACGCAAAAATGAAACATGAATTCACATGGGTATGATAGGAGATGCATGTTTCGCTTTTGAGTATTTTGGTTTTATGCTACGTTTCAGCGTGTCTATGTTCCTGTAATGCCACTTCGTTTTTCCCAGACTCTCAATTATGGTCTCTTTTTCGTAGTGTAGTTTGTTTTATTCTCGGTATATTTTTTTTCGAGTTTCGTCCCGAAATTTGCGTGCATTTGAAAATTATAGACTTGATACATTTGGTATGCCATAATTTGCCGACCCATATGAATATCGGCTAACGTACAATGTGCAACACTGCAGCCATGTCGGATTTGGACAGTCTGAGTTGGCATATTTGAGTTATTGCCCCTTTCGTTTGGAATACATCCATGATTGATCATGGTTGATCGGCATCAAAGTTTACTTAATGCAATTTGAAATGTGTGTAAAATCATACTAAATTTCGTGAACTTTTCTAAGTATTAATCGTTTGATAGTGTGAGTTTAGAAAAATCACTGCAACATATATTTTATTCAGTTTGTCTGAAGAAAAAAAATGGAACACAAATTTGTATAACCGATTGTCGATTGTCAACGCAATCATTTGTCCGAATCAATAGATAAAAGGTTTTTCATTGTATCGCTTGTTGGACTATTGCTTAAAAAAGAATTTAATCATCACTTAATTATAGTGATCGCATGCGAGACTGTAAAAATTCTTTATGAAAAGGGGAATGTGAAGAGAATAAAGAAAAATCTGGAGAACGAACCGATAAAAACTGAAATGCAGACAAATCGTCAAGCCACAGAAGACAAATGAAATTAGAACGTTTGAAAAAAATGCTCTCTTTTAACGTGTTCTTCTCAACACAACAAACAAAATCCAAACCAAAGAATGTTTAATATCCATATAAATATACATGCACTGAAGAAAGGATTAGTTACAATTTTGGTGGAAAAAAAATAATTAACAAAAATATTGAGCTCATTTGATGTTCTTCTTGTACGCTATCTATCTATATATATATATATATATCGTATACCATGAGCTAAAGCATCAACAAAAAAATTATAGTAATTTGTCGAGTGCGGATAATACTTTCGAGAATAAACGTAATATTTTCAAAGTACTTTGTTTTTGGTGATTAACTGGCCGAATGATCGGGCTGCTCATTGAAGAATTATGACATCGATCAATGAATCTTTTACAGAGTCAGTGAAATGAAGAATAAGGATAATGTGGAAAGAAATTCAACTAGACAAGAGTATTTTTTTTCTGTAATACCTGTGTGTCGAGAAATGAACACGAAACTTCGGTGTCAATTACAATGGTTGTTTAAAATATCAATGAACCATAACAGAGCAGAGTCAAGATGTTGGCGTCATTAAAATGATTTCAAGTGGTCATTATATCACAGGGAATCAAAACCACGAAAAAATGATTTCTGAATTCAATTCATCACATATCATTTGATTTGGGGATATGTACTTTGTTTTACTAATTTTTTTCATCATCTCTTTCACGATTCTCTTCTTTGTTGAAGCACACTAAAATTTGATGTGTAATATGTAATAATTTCCTGGTTTTTTTAGTATTAAATCGCTCGAGTGGAATATCAGAAAGTGTATTTATGGCCCTGAAAAAAAGTCAAAAAAGAGAAATGGGTTTAAATCCGAACAATGATTGACTGTCAGGTAGTCACAAATTGTTGTTGAGCTGCTTTACAAGTTAAAAAAAAAAACAAATTCAATGTGCGAATGTACGAATTTCATTATCACCGTTGTAAATTTCAGTAAATTATTTCTAGTAAAAAACTAACTGTAAACTAAAAAAACTTGCTCAGCAACAATACAAAACTGAATAGGCATATGTGACCAGTTTTTTTCTACTTCAATTGAACCCATAACCATATGATATAATCATTTGCTGGTTTGATTCATGATGACAGTTTTAGTCCGGAATGAAATCATTTCAAATCTACATTCATTGTAATCGATCGAAAAAGTGCATTTGCCGATCACAAAGTTAATAATAACATATGTATAAATAATCGTGTGTACGCGTGCCTGAAGTGTGTTTGGGCCACGAACTTTGCAAATTAATTTACTTTAATTTGTTTATTGAGTATAATCTTCTTGTTGTACACATATTTATTCACGTTGTATTTTTTCACTTCATCAATGTAATACAAAAGTGTATTGTGTGGTTACAGTGAACGATATAACGCGAGCGCTCCATTCAGACGATCACTAACGATCTTCATCAATACAAAAGAAGAAGAAATCAAGAAGAAAAATGAAATTTTCTCCTTCTTTTCTCTCGCTCCCTCTCTGTCTTACTCTTCATTTATACTTTGAACATTTTCAGATGATTCATCAAGTGAGCATTACCGAATGTACTCAACCTGAAACATGGTGTTTCGGAAACTTGTTGATGGTTACGAAATGAACTGTGCACTTTTTGTGGTTGAGTGCAGCGTATCGGTTTTTTTTGCACTGTTGCAATTCCTATCACGCATTTTATTTCAACTTACTAAATCACATTGGATTATATATTGGAGGGAAAATTGCACATTAAATACAGGAAAGAAAACCACACTAATCACAGTATATTAGCAGCGAGTTGAAAACACCTAAAATGAATGGAATAAAAAAAACACAGCCTCGTGCACGAGCCGTCAGTAGCATCAACAGCATAGCACAAAGAACAGCATCAGTCAGAAAGATACGCCGATTGGTTTTTTTCTCTGGGCTCATGCTCGCGACCGAAATTTAAATGGTTTATAAACGATTTCGCGTACTTTAACACCACCGGTTAACCGGATGAATAGAAATCAAAATGAATCGTAACAAACTGAATATAGAG